TCTGTCCGTCCCTGTTTTCAGGTTGGACTGAATGTGTTTGGTTTTTGGTGAATATTTGGACACGTCTGTTGTTTAAGGGCAGAATCAAACCAAGTCTGAGTTCTGCCTTCCTCACGTCTGCTGTCCCTTCTGTGTCTGACAGATGCTCCACAATGGCAGCTCCCCGTTTCCATCCTCCTCCTCCTCTTCCTCCTCATCGGGGTGCTTTTATTCATCTGTTGTAAATGCTACAGAAAATCAAAGAAGCAGAGACGGTAGGTGTAGCAGTAGTAGTAATTAGCATGAACAGTCGTCTGACACCTGTTGACCTGAAGTGGTTGATGATGCATGAATGAGTGAGTGAGTCTTCAGACTGAGACTGAATGATCTTTGAAGTTTATTTGTCGTTTCAACAGAATGAATACAGCTGGAAGAAAATATCGGTTGTTTCAGGACGAGGGTGTAAAACCGAGAAACACACCGGGTAAAAACAAAAGCTGCAGCACTACATGTGAAGTAAAATAAGCATTTTTGTTCTATTTATAGAAATTCAGTACAGAGATCAATAAATGAAATGCTTTGTAACACACCTCCAGATATCTAGCACGCCAAATATCTGGAGGAGTCGACCAACTCGACATCCACATCCAGCCAATGAGAGCAGGCAGCTACTTTTTCTCTGCAAAACACTTTTTACTCCCCTCCAGCTCTCTGTAGCTCAGATGATCCCTGATACCTGCGTTTGCTGATCCATCCTTTGTCGTGTAAAAAATCAAGACTTGGGCCAGATAGGAAAGCTTGAACTTTAACCAACATTTTTATTATCAACAAAAACAGACACCAATTAGAATACAACAGTTCCACCGGAGTGAGTCGGAGATCGGTGCAAAATAGAGCCGCGTTCTGTTACCAGAACAGAGACCCGAGTCGACATGAAAACCATGTAACGAAATAATTCACAACACTCCCTCCTCTGAGGCTGTAAAGCCTCACACTTTATACACCAACACTGTGACCACTGAAAATAGGCGGCCTCTTGTATTTGCAGATCTGAAACCAACTTGCATACCTTCAAGAAAATACCCAAATTAGTGTTTACACGTTGTGAAATAATCAATAATCATGCGGTGGGCTTTTTCTGTTGCTAACACATTTGAGCAAGTTATAATGACAAGGATTTCCATTACTCCTCTCTCCTTATTACCCTTTAAATGATTTTCCCTTTAAATGTGCTTAACATATTAAACTACCTATACGTGCTGCAATATAGTGAGATATACCTTGTAAATGGTTTACACTTGTGAAACAAAATATCTTTATGCAGTGAGCTGTTCTTTCGTTATATACTTTAGCAAGCTAACAATTATAACACCTAATGTGTTGAAAGGCACACATCATATATCAAAACAATCACAGGGTGCATAGTGAACTTTCTGTGTAACAATACAGTAACCAGACATAACAGTGTTTCGACAATCTTTCATGTGACATTCAGAATGATGCAAAATGTCCAATAAACATGTATGATGTCCATTTTGAAAGTTTAGTCCGTGGTACTGTGGAAATTATTTTGGCACTCAGGTTTCTTGGGGAACAGGCTGGGTACCAATTTGAGGGCGCTCAGTCGTTTGTAGTTTCAGTCTTGTTCTTCCCTGTGCTGGTTCATTTGGACTCATAGCTGGTGAAGTTGTCTCTGTGGTGGTGCAGGTCACGCTCATATCTAACTCTCGTCTCCTCCCTATCTATTATAGCCTCTCTTTTTCCATCTCTCCTTGTTATCTTAACTCAACCCTTTAAAGACCCTAATTCTTTTTTCCTCTTCTTCTGCCTGTACTGGCCCTTAAATGCACTTACTTATATCTTCCTTCCACTTGCTGTGTACGTTTCTTCATCTGGGGGTATATCTATTTAGACCTTATCTAACAGGATGGGCTCTTTCATTATTCCGTCTCTGTGACTACTTTTCCTTCACTGACGACTATATCGTATGTCAGTATTATCTACCTGTTGGTCAAACTGTTTCTCCCTACTTTCCCTTTATTCTGAGCTTTCTCCATCTCTTATCTGACGTCTTTTATTTTATCTTTAACTACTTACTTGTGCTGTTACCACATATGTTGCTGCCACAGCTCCTTTGACCACCTTTGCGGTTAATTTCTCTTTTTTCTGCTCTTTACCATTTAATTTCACCTGCTGTGTGCCTCCCAGGACAGCCATCGCACACTCACTGCGAGCAAACACTTACTCTCTGGAAACTTTGGAATTTGGACGGCCTTCATGCCTCGAAAAAGAAAAAGACAGTTAATTGTAAAGCCACACAACCAAGAAACTAGAATGAAACAATTCATTGAAAGAAACTCAGGCAGCTCCCCTTGTTTTTATATCAAAGAGCTATTCAACTGAAAAATCATCAAAGCAGAGTTTACTAAAAATAACTAACTTCAGTGAAACTAACAACTATTAAAATATCAAATTCATTTTCTCACATCTAATACAAAATTGATGGCTCTCAATCCCTTCTCCAACTTAAATCCTTCATAGATAACACCTCACATTGCTGCCTATCAATCTGTACTTCTATGTTTCAATAAAACTTTATCAGATGTCATAATTTTTCTAGTTTTGTTCCTTCTCCTCGACCCAAAAAGTGTCTTCAGCCTGTTATTCTGAACTAAATTTCCTTTATTATCATAATACTTTAGTAGGCTGTTTCAACTACACTTTTCTTTTCTGTATCCAGTCATTCCCGTTCTTTTACTGACCTGCTTACTGTCAAGCTGTGTACGCGTGTCTCTGAGTTACAGGTTGTCCTTCCTTGGTCAAGGTCATCCTGCCCCTGTTCAACTCTCCTGGCACAGCTCGACAAGTAATGTCGTGTAAAAATTCAAGACTTGGGCCAGATAAGAAAGTTTGAACTTTAACCAACATTTTTATTATGAACAAAAACAGACACCAATTAGAATACAACAGTTCCACCGGAGTGGGTCAGAGATCGGTGCAAAATACTGTAGAGCCGCGTTCTGTTACCAGAACAGAGACCCGTGTCGACATGAAAACCATGTAACGACTGACTTTAACCTCCTTTTATAGCTCTGTTTCTTGGCTTCACATCATCTCTTGGCTCTCTTTCCTGCTGCACCTGAATCTGGGAAAGTCCCTGACTGCCTGCTCCTCCCCTCTGTGTCCTTTACATGCACTCCGCTTGATCATGCCATTTCATCCATAACCTGACTTTTATAGAATAAACTGGTGTCGTTTGTGCTCTGTGCTAGAAACAGGACATTCTTACTGTGATGAACTATATTGATGTATGTTTTTTAATACAATTTTAACAAAATCTGCTTCTGTATTTTCCTTTGTAAGTGTTTTTGATGCTGCCTCCCTTTTCTCCCAAAGCACACGAACTTGCTCACACACACACACACACATGTGCTACTGCTGAGCCTGGGCAGGAAGGAGCACACACACTCACAGCTGTAGAGTTTTCACACTGTGATCCTAACTTTACACTATAAAATAACACTTTAAATGATGACAGTGTAGACCACCATTGCTCTTGTAATTAATGATAACAATTTAGGCTATAATGCTCCAAAATAATTCACAACACGTTTCACCCAGATTCTTTGTCTTTATGTTCACCTGATGAGTCGACTGTGATGGCAGAAATGTGTTTTTTTCTTTTCCTTATAATCTTTTATATTGTAATAGTACTATTTTCTAACATATTATGTCTTATATATTGTTTTTAATCTTTAACCTTTTCCTTATATTATTATACTAGTCTGTCTACATGTGTAGGGTTTAGGTCAGAGATGTGAAGATCTTTTATTTTATTTCCTCACTAGCTGTTCCTCTCCCAGTCTTCACTGGGACCATCAAGACCAAGAGAGGATCTCTGTTCCACAAAACATAGAAACCTAGACTGTGTAAATGATTATGCATCCCTTTGCTGGGGGCCAGACCTTAGTGATACAGAACCTCTGGTCCAGCTGATTTGTGTTGTAGTACTTTTCTGTTTATTGCTTTTTATTAATAAAGACAACGGTTTGTTGTAATTCAATTATTTGCTCAATCCCTCACCAGAAATACTACAATTTCTCACGGAAACTTGGCACCCCCGATGGGATGGATGAGGGATTCGGACTCTGTTGAGCAACAGAAGCTGGCTTATCTATGGGAAATCCTTCCTACTGGGAGGAGCTGTGTTCAGCAGAGCCCTGACCTTCCCTCCGTTCCAGAGAGAAATGGAAAACAACTAACAAGGTGAGAAATGAGTGTGGACTAAAATAAAGAGAAGGACTTCAAGTAGTGGACTGACATGGACCTGAATCAGTGCACATGGATAGAAATATTTTACTTAGATTGCATCAAATCCCGTCTTATTTTCCTGATAATCAAATCAACTTTACTTTGTCACATGAGTGACACACAGTACAACCTATAGCAAAATGTCCACACAGAACATAACGGTACATTAACAGTATTGTCATCATATCGTCTTTACTCAACCTCCAATCCCTCACCTCTGATCATTAAGGTCAAAGTTGTTCTGTTTCTTTGCTGCTGATTTATGACCATAGAAGCACAATGTTCAGCTGCATCTCTCCTTTGTTCACAGAAAAGAAACCACAGAAGGTGAATCACTCGCTCGGACTGACCAGACACCATGAAGGAGATCCGCTGACTAACTTATATTTTCTACATTCATAACTTTTCTGACGTAAATTGTAGCTGTTAAAATACTAATAAAATTAACCCCCCTGCATAGAAATATTTATATAAAATATTTATTCCAGCATCCTTTGCACTGTGCTGTCACTTTACACTTGCCCTGCTGTCTCACTGCCTACAAATGTTGTTTCTGTTTATAGTGTAGTCTGCTTCTTGCCTAGACTTTCGCTAACACTTGTTTACGCTGTCCTGTGAATGTAAATCAAGAGCAAAGTGTCACCCAAACTTACGTAAATGTCATTTGTCTCTATTTTATCCTGTCGATAATAAACGTAGTAAAAAGAGCAGTCAACTCTTGTGATGTTTTACAGATCCGTGTGGTAGCGCCAGGGTCCGAAATTAACACCTGCCAAGCGCCAAATACGGGTAGATTTTCCGTTTGGCGAGTAAATTTCAAAAGGCTATCCGCCACACTGGCGGGTGAATGTTCATACCAAAATAGTAATGTAATAATCAGTGTTTTCTCTACAATGTATTCATCAGCACCGCTGCAAAATCTTTCCATGATCAGTAATATCGCGACATTCACTTACACTCTGTTCATGGTTGCATAGCAACGTCGGCCACGCGAGTGCTTGTGGAAAGGAGAAAGCGCGGTAAGAACTGCAAAGTCACCGCTAGCTGCCGCTTATTAGCTGTTATGTGGCGACATTTACCAGGAGTGAGCCAACCTTTAAAACGAAAACCCACAGACGAAAAGGGGGACGAATTACATTAAAAAAAAGAAAGTTTTGTGAGAAATGGAGGTTTGGAGAGAAAGGAGTTTCAAGAGGCTGGCTACAATATGATTCTGACGCGGTCGTGATGAGTTGTTCTGTGTGTCGCCAGTATGCTAAAGATAAAAACAGAAACAACTCATTTTTTCATGGGAAATAAAACGATGAAACTTGAGAACATTCGTGACCATGAACACAGTAAGTGTCACATTGCCTGCGTGTCTGTGTCTCTGGCTCAATCTGAGCCTCTACTCTCGAAAACTTCTGTGACAGCGCTAATGGCAATGTCAGAGCAGACCAGCAAGAAGATGAAGCTACTGTTTAGGACTGTACATGCCATTGGCAAGAAGGCCAGGCCACTTTCTGACTTCGAGTGGATGTTCGAGTAAGTGAAACTGTTTTTCCTCCTGTAATGTTTGCTAGACTAACATTTTATATGAAGCTATGGTAGGGTGACCATCAGTCCTGTTTTCCCAGGACATGTCCTGTTTTCACGTCCTGTCCTGGCCGCCCTGGCTGTTTTTTTTTTTATTTTTATAAATGAATACATTTTCAATAAACTGCTGGGAAAGATCAGCTCTACAGCAAAATATATGGGCAAAAATGGAGGATGAGGAAGAAAAACAGGATAAAGAGGAAGAAAACTAAATATATAAATATATTTTGTTAGTTCATTTTTGTAAGTTTGTGAGTCGTCGTGTGACTATGAGGTTTAAGTTCTGATAGTTTTACAAAACCTTCAAATGTACTGTTATGAGCGCTAGTTCCACCTCTTCCATGTTTTACTATTTGTTGCTCTGTTTTGACTTCTATGTACACTTATTCATTAAAAATACCATATCAATTAAATGTACTGAAATTAATGTATATGTGATTTGGCCGGTAAAAATATGCTTGGCTGGATTTTTTCATCTACCAGTCCCCGTGGCAGGTGAGCCAAAAAGTTAATTTCGGCTGCATTATGAAATGAAACTTGTAGTTCCTTCAATGCTAAACACACAACATAGGCCTATAATTAAATGTAGCCATATTAAAATATGGTAACATAAAAAAAACATTTTTTAAATTAGCATCTGGGGTGAATGTAAACAGCAGCAACCAGATTTGGGAAACAGAGTCCATCTTGACTGTGTTTGAGCACCAAGCATCATCGATGTACAGAGGAGTCCACCTCCTCTCATCTTGCAGGAGTCTTGCGCTGACAGCTCGGAACATGGACCGCCTGCCGAGCGCTTGACCCGGGATGTTGATGACGCAGGTCTCTGTAACGATGTGGGCACAACAATCTCTGAATTCCGTTGTCTGGTCAAAATGAGTCCAATTGTGTCCAGACCTGATTTTTAGGAGCAGAATTAAGTCCAAGCTGGGCGACCGCCGCACCCGCCGTGGCGTCTGGTCCGGTTATTTGTGGTCTGCTGCTCATTAATCCAAAAACCCCGTCTTCATCTTCCAATAACTATATACATGTTTCTGCAATAAAGCCGGGAAAAACAGATAAAAAAAACAAAAGTAGTTTAACGCGCCCCCCACCCCCCAAAAAACTCAAGTTAAAGTAGCCTACAGTTTTAAAAAGTAGGCCTAATGTGAAAACTATAAATCATTTGAGTTGCTTGTAACAGTTTAAGCCTAGGCTTCTAACCACCCCTGTTCTGAAAAATAGCTTGCACTAAGAAATGTTAACTAACAAATTGAAATGCTTTGAGAAATGTTTATTTGCACAATAAGAAAACATGCAATGCAATTTCGTCGAACAAGCAGCTGATTAGGTCACCTCCCAGCTGAATCTTTTGTTTGCCTTTCCATGAAGAAAGACATTTCCACAATACATTGGAACAGAAAATGTCTCCAGAATGCAGGAAATTAAGTGTTTAATGCTCCAGTTTTCTGGGGGAGGGTACCCAGACCCCCGCTCATTCAGTAGCCTATCCAGGAGGGACCTCCTATTTCTTCAAATAGTGTTAAAAATCTTCTCATCTCGTTCTCGTGCATGGTCATGTCTCATGATCCTAGCGTATCATCACGCCCCTAATCTGAGCCCTCATGTCCCCACCACTTTTCAACACAAAGTGACGCCCTGGGAACCCAACTACTAACGTCTAGCCTGTCCTCGAGCATTCCCCTCGAGCATTTCCCCTCCATGCGGCACGGGTTTGTTTTCCCCCGGCAGAAACCACATTACAGAGGCCTGTTGAACAAAAGCGATCTGCTTAGACGCCTCAATGCCGAAAAATGACAGGTTTAATGCACATGTATAAATGCACACAATGCAAATGTGTGTATATATTTGCATACCTAGTCTGTGCCGTTTATTTGGATTAACATTTAAATAACACAAGAGGAAATAGGCTAATCTTAATATGCAAATTGTAGCCTATCCTGTAGCCTGTGGGATTCTGTGTTGTCTTGTTTTGTAAATCTGTTGTTAGGCTACTCAGCTGTTCTGTCTTTCGACGGCATTAGGCTACAAAACGTGTTTTGCCGTGATAGCCGTGTTATCAGCTCTGCTGGGTGGAGAACACATGCATGTTGCCTAGCAACAGAATCAGTGTTTTTATTTGTTTTGACAATTTATCGGAAGGCTGTTGATAAATTAGCCTTTGTGTCACAATGTATGAGTCACTGTAGCTCTCTCTCTCTCTTCACAGCAGCACAGACGTTCTTTGAAACAACTGTTTATTACATGGGACACCTGTAGTTTATCTGATGGCGTGCACACCCGTTCACCCTGAGAACATCATTTATTAATAAACATCAAACAAATACAGTGTGGGGAAATAGCTCGTGGTGAAATAATCCCATTAAGTCCATCTGACTGTCTGCTTTGAATTCAGACATCAATAGTTGTAACTTTTCCTCTGCTGGTGCGCTGACTAAAACCTTCGTAGCGTTAACACAAACAGCCGGGACAGAAGCCTGAACACAGAAAATGGACTCAGTTGCCTATGCTATCTTTTAGCTCTAAGGAGATTTATTTACAACTCAAATAAGTTAGGAACTGTGCATCATGAACATAGGCTAACAGTAGGCTGTTTAGGGGGTGGTGGTGCAGTGGATAATACACACGCCTTTGGTGTGAGAGACCCGGGTTCCAACAGGCTACTAATGTGTCCTTGAGCACACACTTAGGCTAGCCTAAGCCCTAGTTGCGTTCGGCCTCTGGCATTGTAAAAGGCTTTGGATAAAAGAGTCAGTTGCTCCAGGGACCTCTGACATATCCTCTAGGCCTATTGCAGCTGTAAGCTTTGAATAAATGATGTAACACAGTCACTAAGAGCGATGCATTTCACGCTGCTGACCGAAAGTCATTTAATCTATTTGAGAATGTTAAATTACTAGGCTTACATGTTACCTTGTTTAGGCTATTCATAAGCTCCTCATGTGTCCAGTGCATTTAGCTTCCTTTGCGTTTGGTTCTTTATGGGTTATGCCTCTTGTGTTTTGTCTGAGTGTTTCCACCTGTGCCTCGTTTTGTCACCTTCCTCTTGAGTGTCCGTCTCTTCAGAATTTGTTGTTGAATTGTCCAATGTCATTTTGTTGAGCCTGGTTTCCGTTGGATTATTGTGGGCTACGTTGTTTCTCGCCTGACTTCATTAGGCTACCTGGATTTAGCCACGCTTTCCGTTTTGTTTTGCATTTTGGACTGCCTGCCTCACCTTTCACGTAAGTCCCTTAACACTGCATCTGTTAAATGTCAGAAACAAAAAAACTAACGTCCCATAAATCAAAGTGACGTTTTTATTTGATAAAAACCCAAAGATATTCCGTTTAAACAGCAAATTCCTCACATCTGACAATCTGGAACAAGAGAATATTTGATTAAATGATCAACTGATTGTGGAAATAGTTGGATTCATTTTCTGCTATAAACAAGTCAACAATAATATAAAGAAGAGCTCAGTAAACATTTTTCAGAAGATGTTCCACATCAAAGAGGGAACAAAAGGCAGAGTTTTCTCTCCAATGCTCTTCCACAATCAGGCTGGCAATTTTCCTCCTTGTCTAACTTTAAAGTCTTGCGTTACCAGTAGTCATGTGTCCGTAGGGCTACAGCTACCATCTAGCGGTTGAAAATAGTAACTGCATCTTGTTTTAAATTAAAATGAAAGTTAACGTAGGGAACGTTACAGCGAAAATAAAGATAATTTAAATGTTTCAAACGTTTACTTGCAACAGCTGCATCGGGTGAAAACTACATGTAACCTATTTGATCTAAAACAGGGCTACAGCCAAGCCTTTGATATTAGACCACTGATTGCCTCCATTTACCCCAGTGGGCGAAATGGAGCTCTTGAAATTGTTCAATTGTAATTTGCATAATTAAGAATTTAATTAATGTTTGTTTACAAACTTACAGGTGTGAAATGTTTGAGGGTGGTCACTAGTTATATTAGCAGTGGTTTGAGATTTTTATGTTGGGAAAAACAAAAAAGTTATTGAAGATTGAAATGGATGTTGCAATTTGCAGACGGTCCCTAACTCCCCCTGCAGCCACAGGTGCATTTGACAGACATTCAGTGCATTGCGCTCTGGCGTCGTTATCTTTAGTGATTTTGAGGTGATCACAGCTGTGA